CAAGCAGCATCATAGGAGCAGATGAAGGGTCTAGGCCCGAAATGTCAGCCTTTCTGCTCCTACGATGCTGCTTGGCCTGCTGTGTTCATCCAGCTCTGCACCTTGTTGTCCCCAGAACATTATCTGAGTTTCTAGGTTAATAGTCTAGTGATAGTACCACTAGGCCATTGCCTCCCACTAACTGATGGCATTTAAATTCAATTCATAAAATATATAGCTAAACTGAGTAATAGTGACCATGAAACTATCATTGATTGTCATAAAAACCCACCTGGCTCACAAATATCCATGAGCGAAGGAAATCTGTTGGCTACATGTGACTCCAGACTCTCAGCAATGTGCTTGACTTGTAACTTCCCTCTGAAATGGCCCCAGCAAGCTGCTGAGTTCAAGATATAGGCAACAAATGCTGGCCTCTCCAGTGATGGTAGTGAAAAAAAGAGCTCTTTACAAAATGCTTCAAGTTAACGATTAGTTATTCTTCAGTAAATACTGCCTTCCCCATATAATTGGTGTTACAATTCTTCCACTGCCTTACCCCACAATCTCAAAGCCAACCTATGTGTCTTCAAATACTTTGTTAATCATTGTTTCTGCATAGACAGTGAAGAGGACTGGTGATAACACCCTTGACTAATTCCAGTTCCAATTACAATGAATTATATCATCAAGAAACACAACCAATCTGCAAACAGAAGGAGAGCTGCTGGAGTAGCTGATCAGGATGGATACTAGTTCAGAGCAAACACTGATGATCAGTATTATTACTGTGAATTATGATCTAATGGACATGAACACTGCAGCTGCCTTTTAACGGTTGATGCTATGAGAATGACACCAATTTCCAATTTTTGGTGCTTTACTCACCGCAGAAGGCTTCTTGGAATTTGTTGGAAAGTTTTTCGATAGCACTGTAGCTTTCCACATAGTCTAAGTGGTCTTCCAGGGGTTCGCTGGCAATTTCACGCAGTGAGCTCATCTCTGCCTTGCCCACGCCAATGGCAAATATCTCAATGCCACTCTGCTTGGCTCGAGTGGCTGACTCCTGCACTCGGTCCTGGGGCCGGCCGTCGGTCACAATGATGGCAACCTGAGGGTGGGTGGACACAAAAATGGTCAGTTTCTTGCAGTAATTATGAATGAGTGGATTGATTTTATTCTGTTGCTGTGTTTTGCTTAGTGATAAAGTGAATCCAGAAAGGCACATGTATCTGTGCCTGCAAATTATAATCAATACCCATTGCAAATGTACTGTTACTCAATGCTTCTCAAAATGGTTAACCTTAGAAATGATCCTGGCACCAGTAGTGGGCATCGCCCTTCAGCAGAGGTACACCGAGGACACAGTTCCAAAGTTCTGGGCAGAGTTTATCAGATCAGATTGTTATCCTGACCATTGGGGATTTTAGGTAGAATTATGTTTTTGATGCACGTTAATGAAACTTGTCCTCCTGGTTAGGGTGGGGTACAATACAGTTGGCCACAGAATTGCTGATCAGTGCGGGTACAACACATTAGGAAACAGAGGTCCTGGTTCCAAGAAAGCTGTTGGGAATAAAAGATACATTTAACACATCATTTTGGCAACTAAGCATTTATAGATATTTATTTTTATTTGTTTGGGGACCTTTACCCGCAAAGCAATCATTAAATGAGTTACTTTGTCTGATTCCTAATATTATAGGTGAGCTGAGTACAGTTTTTGGCCTGTGTTTTATCTATTGAAGAATATGGAATACTATCAGTTTGTTCTGTTGTTGATGATGAAACTGTCCAATAGGAGGCTTCAAAAGCATCACACTAACTCTCCTGGTGTGGAGTTTGGGCAGGGAGAAACTCACATCTTCACAAGCATACAACATGATTAATAAGGCAATATTTTGTAAGATGTGCAAAGTAATTGGGGCTTAATAGCTGAATGTAATGAGGTACCAGTGTAACACTTCAAAGGCCTGATACTTATAATCCTGCGCAATGTTTTTTTCAGGCTGTGCTACTGCCAGCCCATTGTTTTTTCTCCTTAGAAATATTCCTTATTTCTATCCCCTATTCCCTATTTCTATCCCATTTATTCTTATATTTATTGCTTACATTCATTATGGTCCTGCCGGTGATGTCCGCATTCCATGCATAAAGTTTTAAAAACATCCTTATACTTACTTCTCCTGCTATAGTGCTCTTATGTCACTATTTTCTAAAGTTATGGAAGCTGCTGCTAACTATATCCTCTTGAAAGGTGTGGCAGGTTTGGAATGGCAATGTGACTCCCTTATTCAAGAAAAGGTGCAAGGACATTGCAGCTACAAACTCCGTTAGTTTAGAATCAGTGGTGGATAAGGTTCTGGAATCCTTAATCAAAGAAGGCATTTGAGAAGATTTCAGTTAATTAAGTAGAGCCAGCAGGATTTTGTGAAAAATAGATCATGCTTCATGAACCTAATTGATTTTGTTTTGTTGAAGTACCAGAGAAGGTAGATAAACAAAATGCAGTCGCTGTTGTCTATACGAATTTTAGCAAGGTATTTGACGTAGTACCATATTATGAGGGCGGCATGGTGGCTCAATGGTTAGCACTGCTACCTCACAGTGCCAGGAGCCTGAATTCGATTCCCCCTCCAGCAACTGTTTGTGTGCCGTATGCGCATTCTCCCTGTGTCTGTGTGGGTTTCCTGTGGGTGCTTGGGTTTCCTCCCACAGTCCGAAGATGTGCAGGCTAGGTGGATTGGCCATGCTAAATTGCCCATAGTGTCCAGGGATGTGTAGATTAGGTGGGTTTGGGGAATGGGTCTGGGTGGGATGTTCTGAGGGCTGAAGGGCCTGTTTCCACAGTGTAGGGATTCTATGGAAAAGGCTGGTTATTAAAGTCGAGGCCTCTAGAGTAAAAAGGCCAGTGTGCAAATTTCCTCCAAGCCATTCACCATTCTGACTTAGAGATATAGCATGGTTCCTTCATTGGGTCAAAATCCTGGAATTCCCTTGCTAACTGCATCGTGGGTCTAGCTACAGCACAGGGACTGCAGAAGTTCAGGAAGGCAGCTGAACACCACCTTCTCAAGGGCAACTAGGGAAGGGCAATAAATGCAGGTCCGGCAGTAACACCATGTCCCGCAAGTGGATAAAACAAAATTGGATAAAACATTAGCTTAAGGAATAAAAGCAGCAAGTCATGATAATTGGTTATTTGTCAAACTGGAGGGTGATGATGTCGCTCATCAAGGGCCAGTGCATTTTTGTTTCTGTATATAAATGACTTGCATCTAGGAATAGAAAGTAAATATCAAAATTTGCCACTGGTATGAAACTTGAAGGAGTACTAAGAAGAATATGAATTGATTGCAGCAGTTCGAGCAAAATGGGCAGACAAGTGGCAATGGAGTTTAATGCTGAGAAGTGTGATGTGAGGCATTTTGTCAGAAATGATGGGGAGAAGCAATAAATATTTAATGGCTTAGAGCTGAAGTATGAAGGGGCAGAGAAACCTGGGAGTTTATGTGCATCAATCTTTGAAGGTGGCAGGACATATTGACAGAGTGATTAGCAAAGGTTATGGGATCTTGGGCTTCATAACTAGAGGCATGAAGCACAAAATCAGGGATGTTGCACTGAAACTAGATAAAACTCTTGTTATGGTTCCAACTAGAGAATTTCATACAGTTTTAGGCACCACACTTGAGGAGAAATGTGAAAGTCCTTGAGAGGGTGCAAGTATTATTTTTAACAGAGTTGTTTTAGCAATTGGAGGGGGATGGGGAGACCATTAGTTGCAAGATTAGGTTGAACAGGCAGGGGTTGTTCTCTGTGGAGTAAAGGATATTCAGAAGAGATTTGAGATGGTCAAGATTGTTTTCGGCTTAGATAAGATGGACAGGGAACATCTCATTCAGTTAGCTAACGGTACAAGGATTAGAGGACATAGATTGAAGATTTCAAGCAAGAAATGCAGAGTGAATGTGAGGAAGACATTTTTGGTGCAATGAGTGGTAATAACCTGGAATTCACTGTCCATGAAGGTGTTGAAAATGATCAATGATTTCAAAAGGAAAACTGTTGGTCTCTTGAAGGAAATCAACTTACAGGCTGGGGACCAAGTGGGGAATTGGATTGCGTTGTTCTGTGGAGGCTGGCATGGATTCGCTGAGCTGAATGGTCTCATTCTGTGCAGTCCATGATTATGACCTCTGGATTCTAACTTTCTTTTTGCTACTCCTACGGTCAGAGCTCCTCTGTCCTTCCTCCATATTTCTCCAAGGCTACAAAACTTAATATTATTTAACATTCCCTTCCTCTGGCACCAATTACGTGGAGATCAGCATTTATACTATCTTCAGTTCAAATTCATTTTTTTACCAGAATTTTAGCACAGTGTAATTGATATTCAATGGCATTCCCATCACCAAATCCCCGCTATCAGCATTCTGAGGGTTACAATTGACTAGAAACTCAGCTGGATACACCATTTACATACAGTAGCTACAAGAGCCAGAATCCTAGGAACAAGTAACTCACTTCTTGATTCCTCAAAGCCTGACCACGATCTACAAGACAGAAGTCAGGAATGTAATGGAATACTCTCCACTCGTCTGGATGAGCGCAGCTCCAACAACACTCAAGAAGCTTGACACCATCCAGGATAAAGCATCCTATTTGATTGGCACCACACCCAAAAGCATCCACTCCCTCCACCACCAACGCTGAGTAGCAGCAGTGTGTACTATCAACAAGATGTACTACAGAAATTCATCAAAGCTCCTTAGACAGCATCTTGAAACCCATGACCACTTACATCTACAGGGACAAGGGCAGCAGATACATAGGAACACCACAAATTCCCCTCCAAGTAACAGTCTATCTTCAAATGGAACTATATATTATTGCTTCTTCACTGTCAGACTCCTGGAACTGCCTTCCTGACTGTATGGTTGCCATTGTGTGCCTACAGCACATGGTCTGCAGCAGTTCAAAAAGGCAGCTTACCACCAGCTCCTCAAGGGCAATTATGGATGGGCAATAAATGCTGGCCCAGCTAGTGATGCTCGCATCCCTTGAATGAAAAAAACAATCTTTGACAGTCAGTGTCAGTGAGTTCTGAGGAAGGGTCACCGGACCCGAAATGTTAACTCTATTTTTTCCTTCACAGATGCTGGCAGACCTGCTGAGCTTTTCCAGCAACTTTGTTTTTGTTCTTTGACACCCAGTGTTCCCTTTCTTATTCATTCTGGAGGCTTGGCTTCTCCTAGTGATCCTGAGTTAGCTCTTTTTTACATTCTTATGCAACACCAATTTTAATTGTTCCATCATTAGTGGGGGTAAGCCTTTCATTTACTATGTCTTAAAATCTGGATGCCCTCCATAAGCCTCTCTGCCTCTCTTTCCACCTTTTAAACTTTCTGGACTGTCATCTTGTCAACTTGATACTCCTGCTGTTGGTGAGATTTTTCTGACAGTAGCCAGTAATACTTGGAGCTGGAGTTGAAATCTGGATTAGATTTCAGACTCGGAGGTGGATATTAGTTTGTACACAGGGATTAGGTTGCAAGGATCCCAGGTTCTTTACACTGAATGAGTCCAGGTTTTACATTTATGCTTCCTAAGGTCAGACAGCCACAGACAACATTTCATTTAGGTTATTCAAATTTAGAGTTTCAGGCAAGCCAGCATACAATATTTTAACACAAAGTGGTTAGTGTGTGGAATGAACTTCCAGAGGAAGTGGTGAATGCTGGTACAGCTACAATGTTTAAAAGATATTTAAATAAGTACATGAATAAGAAAGGTTTGGAAGGATATGGGCCATGCACAGGCAGGTGGGACTAGTTTAGTTTGGAATTATGGTTGGCATGGACTGGTTGGACCAAAGGGTCTGTTTCCGTGCTGTATGACCCTATGATTTGATACATGTAAGGGAGATTTTGCCATTCAAGAGAGGAGGGGAGAAAACCAAACTACCAATGACATGTGATTGTAATGAAAAGGCTTTTAAATTGGGGGAGATCCATACAGCAGGGACTGATTAAGATTCACTGCGTGAGACCTAACTTTGAGAAACCAAACCAAACCTATTTGAAAGCACTTTGAGTGCCAATGACAAATGGCTTCTTGAATACTGAATTATCATTGATAAGTTCGAAGCATCCATTGATCCATATTAGTAGATGAAGCTGTGGAATCAACCTGAGCGTTGAACAGCCACAAAATAAAACAATATTGACAGTGCAATCTGTTTAAAAGACATCTACTTTTTTCTTGAATCAAAATTCCTGAATGCACGCACTGTTCTCAAATTACAGACCTTTGTTGCAGCGCTGGGTTCTGCTGATCCTAAAGGTAATGATTCCTTTATGGCAAGAAGTTTGGAATATTAGGTATCTCTAAATTGTTGGAAGAGTGGACATGGGCCACAACGGACTTGTTACTGGCATTCCTACTAATCATCTACAATGCCACATTTTTGGGGAAGTTGGTGGCATTGTGGTAATGTCATTCGTCAATTAATCTAGAACCCCAGGCTAATGTTATGAGAATAAGAGTTTGAATCCCACCATGGTAGATGGTGAAATTTGAACCTCATACAAATTTGAAACTTAAAAGGACAGCTAGTCGAATGATGACTATGAAACCATCATTGATTGCCCATCTGGTTCATGAATGTCCTTAAGAGAAGGAAATCTGCCATCCTTATCTGGTCTGGCCTACATGTGACTCTAGATTCTCAGTGATGTGGTTGACTCTTAATAGCGCTCTGGGAAGGTCGGGATGGGCAATAACTGCTAGCATAGCCGGTAATGCCATATCCCATGCATGAATATATATATTTTTAAAAATGGTTTTACTATTGATCTGTCAAACAATTCAAACACTTGCTTACACTTAAAGATTATTGAGCAAAATGATCTTCAAACCTTCTTGCTAAGATAGCCATTGGCATTGAGTAAATAGCAAATACAAAAAATTGAAATCTTTGCACTATGCATTGTGACTGCCAAAACACCAGGAACAGTGGGCAAGATATCAGGTTTGTCACAGGCCATTTGATGAGAATAGACAATTGTCCTCAGAAGGGAGTTGAGAAATTATTGTAGTGATACGACACAACACTTTGAAAGCCCCTGAAACCTGGTCATTACTGAAACCATGAAGATAATTACATTTACATATATATATAAATATATAATTATACTGACTGAATTTAAATTAGTACTTTTTTTTAAAACAGGAAAATTATAAAGATTTTTAAAAGCATTGTTCATTTCCAGTTGAAGAAAGAGATTTCTATAGTTACCTTGCTGGCTGCGCCATTCTTGACCCGTGCCCCATTAGACTCACTGAAAGCAATGTTGGTTGCAAATTGGATGGCGAGGCCAGTCATGGTACCAGAGGAGAGTGGCTGGATCTGGGAGACAGCTCGCAGGACGCCTGCCTTGTTGCGATGTGCATTGAGGGGGAACTCATTTTTGACGGTACTGGCGTAGTTAACCACCCCGACGCGGGTGGCATTTAGACCAATGTCAAGAGATTCAATTACCTGAGATACAAACACTTTCACCTGTTCAAATTCAGATGGGCGTACACTCCTAGAACTGTCAATAATAAAGATTAGGTCAGTTGGTTTACTCCTGCACAGACCTGCAAGAGAAAGAAGGAAAGAAAGAAGTGAGGAAAAGCAAAACAGAAATAGTTTAAAGAAGTTCAGTCTTAAAGTTTAATATAGCATGTTAAAGTTCATCTATAAAAGGAAAACATTTGCTAGTATCATGGAAGGTACTGTTTTACTGAACAGAAAGTGCTGGAGAAACTCAGCAGGTCAGGCAACATCTGTGTAGAGAGAAACAGAGTGAATGTACATGACTGTTCCTCACTTCTTAAGAGGTCAAATTGGACCAGAAACATTAATTCTGTCCACAGATGCGCCGTGATCTGCCGAGTTTCTTCGAAATTTCCTGATTTCAGATTTCCAGCATTTGTAGTATTGTGCTTTTATTTAATTGTTCCACTGAAAACCTTATCTCCCTGTTCTTTTTCTGAAATCATTGCTTTATGTTACAAAATGGTGAGATCTCATCTTCTGGCATGTCACCCGATAGTCTGTCCTTGAATGTATGAAATTAGAGAATACTTTTCAATAGTTCATTAGATTGTGAGAGGATCTGCACCAAAGCCTGTCCCCTCTCTTCCTAACAACTGTCTGTAGTTCATCTTCCAGCAGGTGTCACTGGAGTCACTGTAGCTTGGGCACTGAGGGCAAGTGAAGTTTCCCTATTAAAACGTTGATGGAAACAGTCCACTCCCTGCAGACCAGGAATGAACCAGAATGAATCATTTTAAGCTTCTCACCTTAACAGCACCTTTAATAAAAGAACCACTATGGAGATAACGATACAGCATGTTTCTTTTTAAACAAATGTGGGTTTATAAATTGGTAGCACATTCTCTGCACTCCATTGCAGAGTGCTAGGGTCTTGCAAAAGCATCTCCTCAGAGTTAAATTGAATGAAGTATTATAACCAATTCCTGCAAAAGCTAGGGATTTTCATTGGGCAAGATGACAAGAAACATTACTTCCTGACTATCCGTTCTGATTATCAAACTCAGTCAATTTGAAATTGATTGAAACATAGAAAATTCCTCGTGTAGAAGGATGCCATTTAATCCATTGTGACCCATGCTGGCTGAAAGAGCTATCCCACTTTCCAGCTCTTAGTTCATAGCCCTTCCAGATTATGGCACTGCAAGCATATGTAGGGATATTGTTAAATGCAATGAGGATTTCTTCCCCTACTACCCTTTTAAGCAGTGTGATCCTAATTCTAACCATACTGTGGGTGAAAAGCTCAATTCCCCTCAAAACCTTTTGCTAAGTACATTATCCAATGCCCCCTGTTTATTGACCATTCTGTTGAGGGAAATTGGTTCTTCTTAACCATTATATCTCAGCTCCTTTTAATTTAAGCATTTTATTTGATGTGACTTGACAGTGTGCTGCTTGCAAACTAACTCGTCAGGAGAGTTTCATTGTTTCTATTAGAAACAGTAAACAGCACAATGTCTTGGAAAGCAACAACAAATCATTGTTGATCATTTGGAAACTTAATTAGGAACCAACATTATCATAAAGATGAGAAATAGAATTAGGAGTGGTTCAACCAATCTCACAAATTTCCTCCACTATTCAGTAAAATTAAGGTAGTAATTGTTGCCTCAGCTACCCCTTTTGATTTGCACTTCTGCTCCCCACCGTAACCCTTGACTCCCTCATAGATCACAAATCTGCATAAATCACCTCTGAATATTCTCAAAAACCTAGCCTCCACTCTGCATTAGAGTAAGGATTCCAAAGATGAGTGGTTTACTGCCTACTGAGAAAAGAAAGCCCTCCTCATTTCCACATTGTTGAAACTGTGCCCCCCCTTGTTCTACATTCCCTCATGAGGGAATTCCCTCTCAGTATCTCATCAGCCAAGCACCCCCATTCCGCCACCGCCATCTCATATGTTATAGTAAGAACATCTCTCGTTCTTCTAAACTCCAATTAGAATAGGCTCAACCTTGTTATCCTTTCCTCACATGTCAATCTATGATAAAACGAATAGCTGATTATGTTAGCCAAGCCCAAACTCAACATTACAGTGAAAGTGAAAACAATATTTTGGAGTGCTAAAGATGTTGGCGGCAGGTACTTTATAGATCACACTATTATTCTTTTTCATTGACAATATTAACAGGGACTAGCGAAATGCCAGGAATATCTGCAACACCAACTTTAGTCTAATTACCAACTGTGGTAATGTGTGTGCAAAAAATCCTTTGCATTGACTTCTTCCCTCCAACAACCACACAATCCATCACTATTCCAGCTCTGTTGTGGGCTTTCCTAATTATTGAGTGGGTAAATGCTCCTGGATTGTGGCACAATACCATACAGACATGGAAGGTGCAAGGTCCCTGGCTTCATTTGGTCTCTGCTGAGATAATCCATCTCAACTTTGATAGCAATTGGGTGCCCCAATTGACATAAATATCTTTGGGATATTTTGAACTGTCCTTTGTGTTGAAGAGACGTTTTTGCACAATGATTCGACATTTCCATAAAGTTGCAGGGAATTAACCAAAAACTTCAATTCCTCAGCATTTTGAGCAAGAGATTGCTACATTATTAGGATTAATTAATTCTACAAGAGTGTGAATATTTGTCTGCACATTGAGTTTAAATATCAATTGCAGTGCACCTTGAGAATTTTACTCATGTCTTGAGTAAAATTCTACTCTTCAACCCATCAAGAGGAGTTTAGCCTTAAATTACGACAAGGACAGACCATGTGATGCACAGAAAAAACAGTTTGAAGATTTTGAAGTGTCAAAATGCTGCCTTTACGGTAATTTCTGAACTCAAATTGCACTAGCCTCACCAGTGCCACAATTTCCCTGACATTATATTCTTCCAAAGGTATTTCAAGTCAGTGAAAAGTCGTGACCTGGATTTAAGAAAACGAATCTTGCAAAATTGGGAAATAGATTTTTTAAAAAGACTGGTGATTTTCCTTGTACATTGTGGACGAGAAGGGATCATCAGATGTAAAAATATCAGGTGAAATTAATATTTAGAGCTAGTTGTCTCTTTTTAAAAACGATACAGGAGCGTAGCCTCTTACCAGCTGAAACCTGTGGACCAGATCTGAGAGGTTGGACTTTGGGTACGCCATTCACCTGAACCAGGATTAGGGCTGAGAGGAGCAATCCACTGAGAAGTCCCGTCATCTTGACCAGAAGCAGTTGCAGGAGTTCACGCTGCAGACAGAGTGTGACAGAGAGCGGGACTTGCTCTAGGTATTAACAAGAGGCTGGAACACAGCCTGACACGTGTGGAATACCTGAAGGGGCTCCAGGAAAAACGTTGACATTTAACTCTTTGACAAAATTATCCCCCAGCCTTCGGCCGTTTATAAATAAGAAAGCCAAAAAAAAAGTCATCAGACTAAGACTGGCATAAATTAAGCAGGGGAAAAGGGAATGAAGTGTTAAAAAACATTAGAATGATTGAGTGGATGAAGACATTCAAACTGAAGCTTTAACGGTTTTGGTCAGTACATAAATGTTCTTTTGGAGTTTTTAAAGTAGGGATGGTTTAGATGGTATGGAGTGCTGGGTTTGTGTTTTTTGTTGTAATTGTTTACATTTTAATAATGTCTCTTTTTAACACCCTAACCCAGTACACTTCAAACCTTACCACCTGGTGGGTGCCTGTATTTTGTAAAAACTATTAGTACAATCGGGAGGAATGGGATCAAAATCTCACAAATAAAGTCGAATTCCTCAACTTTTTCCTGGTTTTTAATTTAAGCGAAAAGGATTGCCAGCAGCAGAGGCGAATAAAGGGCAGGTTACACTGGAACATGAATGTACTGTCGGAACATGAGTGTACTGTTATGCCACTAATTAGTGTATTCTGCAGCATCCTTAACCATGTTACTGCACACAGACCCGAAGTTTACTCTCAAGTTCACTCCCATCCCTGTGTTTGACTTTCGCTAACAGCATGCGTTTGTAATTGTGTGTAGCTTCCTCTGTCCCTTTGTACATTTTACAGTATTTAAAATGACCTCGCCTCCCCACTGCCAGCCGCACATTAGTACCTGGGCACGATGTGGCTTATTCTCAAAACTGATCATTAAAAAGAAACATACTTTGTAAAGCCCTTCACATTCCGTACAACAACAATATAAACAGCGAGAAACACTCAGCAGGTCAAGCAGTGCTTTTGAAGTCAGAGATGCCTCACGGCCAATGTGATTCTTCCCAATTCTATGCCATCACTTCAGGCCTGTTCCAAACTTCGCCCGACTTCAGAATCCATGAATGGAGCAGTCCTCAATGCGGTTCCATTCCAGATTACACATTCAGAGCATAACACCAGGTTTGCTAGGGTATAAGGAATAAAATAATTAAATAGAATTATATTGAGATCTGAACACACTTAAATGGGTAATGAGGGCTAATAATGTTCGTTTGGAGAAACGATTTTAAAGTCTAACATTGTCCCATTCCCCGGCTTCATTGATTCAAGTTTTGCAGCGTTTTGGTTTTATTTCTTTTATTAGGAGGCAAACGGGAAGAAATTCAATTTCTCTCACTTATAACAAATCTGTTTTAAATAAGGTTTCAATGACTTCAGTTGTATTTAACTCCTGCTATTGGCAACACGGAAACAGGCTCAACGCATTTTAGTTGGTGTTTATGTTCATCCAACCGCTTAAGTTTAAAACAAAAGTCACTGGACTCTAAACGGTGACTCAGTTTCTCTCTCCACAGATGCTGCCAGACCTGCTGAGTTTCTCCCACAATTTGTGTTTTTGTTTCAGATTTCCAACATGTGTAGTTCTTTGTTGTATTCCAACAAATATATCCCCCAACCTCCCCTAGATTCACGCTGAAGGAATTGTGCTACTCGCCTTAACCATTACATGTGCTATCCAGTTTACTGATGGCTATTTATGAACTCAAGTGTTAGACACCCCACATGGGGAAACTTCAAACTCCTTCATTATTTTGTAGGTAACCGCTCTTTCTGGAGGAAACCCTCGGCCCAGTTGTCTTTCCCGGTAGCAATAACATTTTAGCTCCTTGCCTAGAGTTTTTTTCTGTGCACCTTGCCTGGTGCCTCCAAATCTTTTTGCCAGCACGAAAACCAGAATTGCAAACAGTGCTCCAAGTGTCAAGCCGTTTAAATATTTGCCCTCCCCTTAAATTTGGAACACTTGCAAGAGCAATTTCAGCAAACGTTCCGTGAAATCTTTCGTTGCCCCGAAGCAAACAAAAAGTTGCTTCTATTCAGCAATGGGGGGAAATCACTGCACCGCTACTGATTAAATCAGGAACAAACTCCGGCTCGGTAAATATTGACTTAGTCCGACACTTTTCCAGGAATTCATTTTACAACAGATCTTCGTGTATGTGAAATAGACTAATATACAATCGGCTTTTAAAAAGGTCTGGGAGTACGCGGTTACAGTGCAGGTGCCTCTTACATTGCTGCTTTTTGGAGTTGGCGGTCTCAGCAGAGTTGGCCCTTTGTCAGCGAGAGTTTGATGTGGTAGATGGGTGTCATTTCAAGAAGTGGTGTATTCGCTCGGTCTGGTTACCGAGGCCGTTTCGAGTTCTACAAGGGCCAGGGAGAAGTCGATCCCTCAGTTTATATCTCTCGGCCACCTGATGCCATGTTTGAAAATGTCAGTATGCTCCCCAGCTCCTAAGCAGGCGCTCACCAACTGTAACAGGCCCTCTGTTTTTCTCAGGTTATACACATCTCCAACAAACAGGCAGAATCAAGGCAAGCCGGATGGCTGGAGAATTAGAATTTGAAAGCTGAAAGACCCAATTTCCCATCCCCAGAAACACAGCAGTCTAGTGAAAGTAAAAGCTGACATTGAAGAGATACTTAGTACCAGCCTAACCTGGGCATTCCTAATAACGGAGTCACCTGTCTTGTTCCAAAAAAAAGTTCACATTACTCCCCTTCATATACTTTAAGATCATGTTACAAAAACAGGTATACCACAAGTCAGTATTGTTCCAGAGACAGCAGGAACTGCAGATGCTGGAGAATCCGAGATAACAAGGTGTAGAGCTGGATGGACACAGCAGGCCAAGCAGCATCAGAGGAGCAGAAAGGCCTGCTGTGTTCTGCTCCTGCTCTACACCTTGTTATCTCAGTATTGTTCCAGTTCACTGATTATAGCTGAGGACATTTGTCTTCTACACCTCATTGCTAGTGCATAACCCTGTGGCTGGATTTTGTGGTCAGCAATAAATTGAAAGCTCTGTATGGTGAATTTCATTTTGGCATAAACTACAGGGAATCTCAGGACTGCAAAGTGGTGTTATTTAGCTTAGATCAGGTAGTAGCACATTTTAATTTTTGCTTTTACATTTCATTTTAAACAGCTGAAATATAATTTTAAGAACATAGTTTCATGGAATTTTTTTTAGCATGAATTGGAAAGATTGTTTTTCAGGCCCACAGGGGTTGTTCAGCTATTATGATTTAGCATACTGTTTAAAAACAAAGTTATATCATAATGTAATGATTGAATTGATTCAGTATCTATGACAAACTTCCAGTTAACACCCGAATAGATTACATAGCAAGATTTTTCATTTAATCTGTTTATTACAGTGAATGTCTTAAAGGGCTGTTAACTTATACTTCAAACTATAGAACAGAACTTTTAACAATATATAAACACACCATCAAGTATGTGTTACACAGACATTACATTCTCCCAGAATCAGTCTAATGATACTTCACTCCCACAGCCTTACTTCTATTATCTTCCTTTCTCAGCCTGGCAACTCAACTCCAGAATGTCTTTTCAAGTGCACACTTTTCTCCCTCTAGCTAAAGCTAGACAAATCTTCCAGCCCCCTTTTAACTCCTCTCAAATTTGTTCCTTCGAATCACCCTCATTTCTAGAGGCTTTTGCTCTATCTGCCAGACTGTGGGAAATTGTCACAAGACAATACACCAATGTTATTTAAGACATTATCTTAAACATTTTCAAACTGCTTGAAACTCCTGCAAATGGAATTGAAACTGGGTAAAGTGCTTAGAAACTACAAAGCCATCTCAAGATGGAGGTAAGAGAACAAAACTATCACCCAGGGGAAGGGGCTTGGTTAAAACAAGACTCCCTCCAATCCAGAAAACCACTGGAACCAATTACAGTTTTAGGAAAATGTTAACAAATGCGAAGTACTGGACATTGAGCTACTGTTGTCATAGACAGACCCATCAAAAAAAACTTTTGGAAATTTGCACTGAAATCAGAAATTCAAGACAGCTTTTGAGAGCTTCAAGATTACAGAAAAGGAAGCTGATGGTTTTACTTGTCTCTCTCTCACGCTCAAAGAAACTGAACCAGTTTCCAAGAAATGACGAGAGAGAAATAGCAGAGTGGACAACTCCTGCTGACTGCACCAGGAAACCAGCAAGTTTGTAGCCTTCAGTTTAAACATTATACCCAAAGACAAATAACGGACGCTAAACTATATATTCTATGGTGTTCCTTGTACTGGACTATCCCCTTTCAGCTTTGTACTTGTGTTTGTGTAGGGGTTCTTGTGACTGTATGAAAGCCTGCAACCATATAGTTACTGTTTTTCTCAGGGTTAGCAGATATTAAAATGCTTCCACTTAAACTCGTGAATTGGCTCGTCATTGCTTAAGGTAAGAACAATTAACATTTTAGTTTGATAAAAGATTAAATAAGCCTTAAACTTTTGTGGTGACCAACCAAACAGGCTGAAAAGAGGGAGTCAGTTCACCCGTTTATGCTTGGTAACAACACAAATTAACTTGTCTGTGATATCAGCGATATTTTATGAAACCCTGCAACCTGATATCACAAATCGTTTCCTCTATAGCCTTCCCATGTCAAAATCCATCACCAGGGCAACAGTGGCCTTGTATGCAGGTAGAAATGCCGATTTTTTAGATCCCAACTCTATTTTAACATGGAATTAAATGGACAGTTCAATGCACAACTGTTTACCATTGGACATTTTGAGCACCTTTTTTTGACTTGAGCTCAGGAGTCTAACTACGTTAGAATACAGGTTGCTGACATGGCATCCAGGCATAAATTCCTTAAATCTTTTCACAGGAAAACAATGAGTCTAATAATCTATAATAATCAAACTACCTAGGTTTGCTGTCAGGCAAACAACCACAGCATAGTCACACAAACATTCAATTTTACTTTCAATTGAAAATCATCACAAAACATGCTTATAAAATTCAATTTTAAACTCTAATTTATTCAAGGTGATTCTACAGTAAAATTAATTTCTCAAAATATGGAAGTTCACATCGAATTGGTGATTTTTTAATTGAGTTCCAACGGGTGTGGACTTCAATATGATATCAGTTGGAGGAACAGAAAAAAAAACACTGACAGCAATGCTTGAATTTCCACATTTGTGTATATAATTGTAGATATCAGAAGTTGCAGTCACTTTCACAGCTTTACAATGGTGAATACTGACAGTCTCACCAATACAACTGCAAATCTGGGCCATTATTTATACCACTAAAATTTTCTGCCTATGAAGAGTAGAATCTTAAAAGTTAAAACTCCGAACTGGGTTTTCTGCTAGGTTGCACTATTTTGTTCACCATTATTCACTCCAAATCAGCCAGTGCAGTGCAAAAGGTCCCGATTTTAAAATTATTGCAAAAAGGAGTTTTTGTTCAAGTTTTGAGCCAGAAGCCAGCTCTGCCCACAAAACTGACCATGCCCTAATCAAATTAATTGCCGACTCAAGTTTATGCTTATTGTACCAACTTGCAGGCCTTCAAAGGAGGCTCTTAGAATTAATGTTTTAGCACAAGGACACACAAGGCAAGTTTTAAAAGCTTTTGTACATAGTATTTTAATTTAGTAACAGAAAATACTATACTCCTGCAAAAATAGCATATGGTTCTATATATTTTACAAAAGTCACTTTCAATTATTTAAAATCAGGTCAGTCAAAGTGGTGAACTAGACACTAGTTTAAATATGCATACTTTGCTTAATACAGCTGAAAATAGGTCACAAGTGGTATTTACCATTCAAGTATATTCAGCTATGTTTTCACACAAGTTTGAAAAAAATGTTGAAGTTGATGGTTGGTTCGCCTGATGCTGGGAGGTATCACAACTCCAACTGCAACCCGAGCTAGAGATCTTTGTTAAAATGTGAAAAAGAGTATAAAGTGTTGATTCATGGCATGTTTTATGTTCACCAATATGCAAATAATTAAGCAGAAATTTAGGGGAAGTAAACACTTGTCAAAACTGGAAAAGTTTTGAACTGAACTTACACCCAGATAGGTGATGACACCTATAACAGAAACTCCAGGATACTGTGCCTGTAAAACAACGATTTAAACAGATGTAGGTGGAAGTGCTGTCAGGATGCTAAGAATACTTTATGCATATTCTTCGGTTTATAGACTTGCTCCAGAAACCAAAATATTTGTTCAGATAAAAAGTAAGATGGTATTGGTAAAAGCTCCATACACTATAAATTAACATGCATCATTGTACAGGGATCTCACATTGCATATGAGCTTAAAGTTTCCAACAATTTAGATCTTTAAACAACTCAACAAAATGCTATTGTTTGTGCAATTTATTTATGAAAAATCTCCATTTACAGAAGCAGAACCAACTTTAAAAATAATGTTATTGATTGCACAGAAATTTGAGGGTAGTTGCATTTGCCACAGTTTAGCCAAAATGTACCACAGATTTCAAAATGTTATGTGAATTTTCAAAAATACAAAGATTACATTATAATTGTTGCACTTTTACTTTGCAAATTTAAAAAAGTACACTTAAATGATCCTCTGAGGTCTCAACAATTTTAATGCTTTATATCTTGTTTTCAGGAGCTGTAGATTTTAAGTAACACAAGCAGCTAGTATTGAAATCACCTTTCAAATGGTTTATAGATCACAGATAAATGGAAAATTTTATAATGGACTCAGCTGCAAGTACTGTAGAATGCAGTAATATAGAAAAATAAAATGCTGAGTCAGCACTAAATAGCAAACAGGAAAGACAATACCAAAACCTCATAGCTATCACATGTCTCAAAATGCAACAGTAAACACACAATGGTCAAAAACTGACACTCATTAAACATGTTTGTAAAGTTTTCATACATTATCCTTTCAAATGGACAAGAACAAAGCCAACTGGTTATTTTTTGAAAGAAAACACTTAATATGGATTTGACTAACTCGACCTTGGGAGCAGTATTTCTTACTTTTTTAAAAGAACATATTAAGAACTCGTTTATGATTCCACTGAAAATTCTGTGAAGAAAGTATTTTTGTCCTTGTCCACACCCCATCCATCCGACCCGCACCAACATTTAGATCAAAATAAATCACTCTGGAGCAACATTTAGATCAGTCGTTAGAAGATAGTACAATTTTAATTTGTTGATCTTTAGCTTACAGAGTAAATATTTTTCATCCAATCTTAATTTCAGTCTCATTCAAACGTATGAGCTTTTCCACTGCCAGTAAGATATTACAATACTTTTAAGTGTGGTTTACCTTCAGTTAAGTAATTAGAATATGTTTAATAGGAACTATTCATCATAAGGTACTCATTTAGCAACCTGATAAATAGGTTTTTTCCTGATGTATCTCAGTTGGAATACTAATAGCTCATTTCGCGCTTGACACAAATCCACTGAAGCTTGAATCTTCTACAGTCAAACCCCATTGAATCACCTTCTATTGATATATGCAACCATTCTGCAAAGTAGTTTAATCAATCTATACATTCGTTGACTGAAGAGTGACTGTACTGGAGACATATGAATGCAGTGTGCTTAGAGAGGTTATGATTTGTGTGCTTATCCAGTAGTTATAGCTTCCATAAGATGATGGTTAATTGTGAAAAAAAATTGTTAAAGACCTTAAGGATTCCTAAACCAGCCTGGAATGACAATGCTTATGTGCAGCATCCAAGCCATTAGGAAGCAGTTTCAGAGTTGAACATCATCTGATGACTGTTAAAAGTATACTTTAATGTCAGTAAAGCTCTTAAAATACATCTATCAGGTAAATAAAACATGATGGGAGATGATTTTTTTAAGCTGGTAAATATACTTTTGAGGCACTGTAACTTTGTGAAGCAAATGTTTACTACTTTCTATTTTTTAAAAAAATCTAACTGAAAGTGTGTAGCTATCATCTATCTAAAATTCACTCCTAATGACCTATTGATGGATTTTGAAAGGAGATACACTCATCAATTTAGAAATGTTGGGATGGATTCCATAGGTGAGTAGAAAATCTAGCCATGCTCTGAGCATTTCCAGTATTTTGTTTCTTTTATAGAAAATCTAGTCTATTACCTAATAGTTCAATGCAATCTGTATCAACACTACTGGAACATACTTTCAACGTGTCAATTCCAACACACAAGTATTGTCACCAATAGCTATCAGAGCCAGTATTAGAAATTTAACATATACTACAGATGATACCCATCTGAACTTGAAATCCCCTCACTTCAGCAGGTTTTGATCTTATGATTTCCATTTTACTCAAGCAAAACAAATAAGCTCCTCAAAAATCACAAGCATAACAATTATAAAATTCACTGAACTGCCAAAAAATGCAAATAGGACAGTTATAAAGCTCAGCATGTTCTTAATACTATATTGTATGCTAACATTTCAATAGGTACTGAACAGACACGTTCATATTTGGTCACTGTATATTACTTTGGTGTATACGATGGTGGAGACTTCTTGTGTGGCAATTCTTCTGGTGCCTCTACAACCTCCTCATATAATGGCAACTTCATAACGTCTTCATATGCTGGTGGCTGAGTCTAGTTGCAAAATTAAGTGGTTCATTACACAATGTTATTAAATAATACAGTTCAAATCAGAAAATATTTTAATTCACCCAAATACATAAGAGAATGGAATTTGAAAATGGTGGTTAAAATATCTCTCTAGTTCAAAGATGAATCAGAAGGAATAACAATTTCATTACACTAATGGTATGTTCTAGTTTTAAAAGAAGCATCACACATATGGATCTCGAGGATGCACTAAAAATAGTATTTCATCAACAATTACATATCTGCCTAAGGTTCACATTTATCAGCGTTTTCTTCTCTATAGTTGATCAAGATAATTTATAACTCTCTATACTGAACTATACTCACTATTGAGTTTTCGGTTTATCTTCCTGCGGAGATTTGTCCTGTTTGGAAAACCCAAAGACAAGAAAAACAATTTAAATATTCAAGGCAGAAGTTGATGCCTTAGGGAATTCTACTCTCATGCCTGACATGCATAAGTTAAACCTAGCCCAAGTACGTATTTTGACATTGAACAAATCGAAACCAAAGTTTCTTAGACATCATCTCAGATCTCCCTTCAGTTAACTAAATCAACACTACAGAGCAGACATGTCAGTACTTCAATATTATTATGATTTTACAGGCTGGAATAGGTGTTGGTGGTGGTAGAAGGGTGAGGGGGGGGGGTGGAATTGGGAGGTGAAGTGAACAATGATTTTTCCTACAGCAAGGATGAGACCTGGGGTTCAGGCACATAGTTCTTTGAAATTTGCCTCATAGATTGACAGGGTAGTTAAGGCAATGTTTAGCATGCTTGCCTTCATTGCTCAGACCACTGAGTATAGGAATTGGGATATCATGTTGAGGTTGTGCAGGATGTTGGAGAGGTCACTTTTGGAGTAGTGTACAGTTCTGGTTGCCCTGCTATAGGAAGGATATTATTAAATTGAAAACCTTGAAAAATTAGTTGACTTTCCCTCCAATTTCCACCCAACTATAGCTTTCCCATGGCCCATCTCCAACCCTTCCCTTCCTTTACTTAACCTCTCCATCTCCATTTCAGGGATGATACTGTCCACTGCTATCCACTACAAAGCCACTGACTCCGAAAGCTACCTTCACTACAGCTCTTCACATCTCGTGTTCTAGTTCCTTCGCCTACATTGTATCTGTTCAGATGATGCCACCTTCCAAAACAGCACTGCTGACATGGCTTCCTTCTTCCATAACTGTGGTTTCCCGCCCACTGTAATTGACAGGGCCCTCAACCACATCCGAATTATCATCCGTGCTTCTGCCCTTGCTCCTTCCCATCACTCACAACAGGGTGATTGGGTCCCCCTTGTCCTCACTTTTCATCCCATCAGCCTTAGCATTCAAGGGATCATCCTCCAACATTTCAGTCAACTGCAGCAGAATGCCACAACCAAACATCTCACTCCCCCTGTCTGCATTTAATTGGGACCTTTCCCGTGGCACACTCTAGTCCATTCCTTGATGACCACCAACAAACCCCCTTCGCACGGTATCTTCCCATGTAACCGCAGAAGGTGCAACACCTGCCCACTTCACTTGTTCCCTGCTCACCATCCAAGGACCTAAACAGTCTTTCCAGGTGAAGCATTATTTCATCTATATCTTCTGCAATCTGGTCTATTGCATTCGCAGCATTCAATGTGGCCTACTCTACACAGGAGAAACCAAATGCACACTGCACTGCGTAACCACTTTGCAGAACACTTCCAGTCTGTGCGCAAGCATGACCCCAATCTTCCCGTTGCCAGTCATTTTAACACAGCATCCTGCTTGCATGCTCACTCGTCTGTCCTTGGCATGCCACAATGCTCCAACAAATCACAGCGCAAACTGGAAGAACAACATCTCATCTCATCTCATCTTAAGACAAGGCACTTTACAACCTTCTGGATTTAACATTGAGTTCAACACCTTCAGTGAACTCACTCCCGTTTCTTCCCCTTTTGCTTTATTTGTTGAATTGTCTGTCACCACGTCCTCTCTCCCCTCCCTGTGCCCCCCCACCCCTCGACTCCAGTGGGATCATCTGTTCTTTCCAGTTGACAGTTAGACACACCATTGTCCTGCCATTCTTACATTCCAATCACTTAATCTACACAATCAGCACCCTTTCTCCCCCAGCATTCCAACCCTCCACTATAGTATAAATGCGGTCCCCTCCATACTTCACATCAGCTCTGATGAAGAGTCATCTAGACTCAAAATGTTAGCTTGCTCTCTCTCCATGGATGCTGCCTGACCCGCCGTTATTTTTAGCATTATTGTTTTCAGTACAGATTCCAGCACCTGCAGTAATTTGCTCCTACGTATTATTAAATTGGAGAGGGTTCAGAAAAGATTTATCAGGATGTTGCTGGTACTGTAGGGTTTTGAGTAAAAAGGAGAAGCTGGATAGGCTGGGAGCTTGGGAAGTTGAGGGGTGACCTTATAGAGAGAGATTTATAAAATCATGAGGGGCATAGATAAGGTAAATAGCAAAGGTCTTTTCCCTAGGGTTGGGGCATTCAAAACTAGACAGTATATTTTTAAGGTGAGAGGGGAAAGATTTAGAAGGGACCGGAGGGGCAACTTTTCACATAGAGGATGGTTCGTATATGGAATGAAGTGCCAGAGGACATGGTAGATGCAGGTACAATTACAACATTTAAAATACATTTAGTCAAGTAAATGAATAGGAAAGGTTTAAAGGGATATGGACCAAATGTAAGTAAATGGGACTAGTTTTTGTTTGGGAAACTTGGTCGGCATGGACAAGTTGGGCCAAAGAGTCTGTTCCTGCACTGTATGACTCCATAAGAAAGAGGTTGATTAAGAGGGGAGAAACAGAATACAGGAGAAAACTTGCAAGTAACATAAAAGCAGACTGTAAAAGTTTCATAGTACAAAAAAGGTTCTAGCAGACAACTGTAGACTCCTTGTGGAGAACTGATAAATGGAGAACAAGGAAATGGCACAGTAATTAAATAACTTCTCCAGTGTTATAATTTCATAGATGACTTAACTCAATTCCTCAGAAATTTTAGGAAAGCAAGGGTCTACTAGGAAACAGAAATTAAAGGAGATCACTATTATTTTTAAAACAAAATGCTGGAGTTATCAAAGGAACTGAAAAATGATAAATCCTCAGGGCCTAATAATCTACAACTCTGCGTAATAAAGGAGATGGACATAGAAATAGTAGACATGTTGGCTGTCATCTTCAAAATACTATAAATTCTAGTACAGCCATTGGAGGGTGGCAAATACAACCTCACAAATTAAAAAAGGGACAAAAAACTGGGAATTACAGACCGGTTAGCCTAATATCAATAATAGGGAAAATGCTGGAGTTTATTATAAAAGGTGAGAAAATAGGACACAGAAAACACCAACGGGATTACACAAACTCAATGTGGCTTATGAAAGGAAAATCATGTTTGTTTTTGAGAGGTTGTAAACAGTAGAATAGATGAGAGAGAACCAGTGAGTATGGTAGATTTAGTTTTCAGAAAGCTTTTGATAAAGCCCCACATAAGAAGTTAGTGTACAACATCAAAGCATGTGAGAATTGTGGAATAAACTGGCATGGATTGAAAATTGGTTGGCAGACAGGCAACAGAGAGAGGAATAAGTCATTTTCACAGTGGAAGGCGGTGACAAGTGAGGAACTGTGGGGATCAGTGTTTGGCCCCAGTTATACACAATAGACACCAATTTGGGTGAGGAAATCCAAAGTAATATTTTCAAGTTTGTGGATGAAACAAAACTAAATAGGATTGAGGGTGAAGAGAATGTAAAAAGGCTTCAAAGTAATTTAGACAAGTTGAATAGTCTAAAATGTATTGCAATTTCAATATAATAATGGATAAGTATGAGGTTGTTCACTTTAGTAGGAAAAACAAAATGGCAGAGTATTATTTAAATTTCAACAGTTTGGAAATATTGATGTATAAAGGGAACCAAAACAGAGATAGCTGGAGACACTCAGCAGGTCTGGGAGCATCTGGGGAGAGAAAGCAGAGTTAACATTTCAGGTCCAGTGACCCTTCTTCAGAACTGGGGTTGCAAGCATGAACGCAAAGGTTCTGAAGAAGGATCAAAAGAGCCAAAATGTCAACTCTCCTTTCTCTCCAAAGATACAGCCAGACCTACTGAGTTTCTCCAGCTATTTCTATTTTTGTTTCACATTTCCAGCATATGCAGTTCTTTGTACGTTTTTTTTTGTATAAAGGGACCTGGGTATCCTTGTACACCAAATCATTGAAAGCAAGGGTGCAGGAACAGTAAACAGTTAGGAAAGCACTTGGTATGTTGGTCTTCATTGCAAGAAGGTTTGTATACAGGAACAAGGAAGTCTTACTGTAGCTTTACAGGGCCTTGGTGAGACTATACCCAGAGTATTGTGTGTATTATATTGCTCTCCTTACAGAGGAAAAGATATACTTGCCATAAAAGGAATGCAGTAAAGGCTCCTCAGACTGATAGCTGGGATGGCAGGTTGGTCATACGAGTAGAGATTGAGTTGACTGGGCCTGTATTCGCTGGAGTTGAGAAGAATGAGAGGGGAATCTCACTGAAACATACAAAACTTTGACAGGGCTTGATAGATAGATCCTTGGACGATGATTTTCTTGACGGGGTGCAGAACAAGGGGTCACGGCCTCAGGATACATGGTAGGCCATTTTGGGCTGAAGGTCAACCATAATCATGCTGAATGGCAGAGCAGGCTCATAGGCCAATTTTCTTTGTTTCTACATACCAAACAAGTGGAGGATGTAGTTTTGATTATACAAGCTTCACTAGTTTCCATTACATTTAACAGCTCACCCTTCTATGCTTATAGTTGGCCTTCTGCACATGAAATCCTGACATTTTTGAATATATAAGCCACACTGCTGAGACAGAGGAAGATTTCAAGCAGAGTCAGCAGTGTGGAAGAGATTGGGGGCACTATAAATTTATATTAATCAACATGGTGCTTTACTAATGTTTCATAACAAGCACAAGCATACAATGAGCTTTAATTTTAAAATATTTACAGACGATCATGAAATTGGAAAGCTGTAGGAAATATGTGAAACTTGAAAGGGTTCAGAAAAGATTTTCAAGGATGTTGCCAGGGTTGGAGGGTTTGAGCTATAGGGAGAGGGTCAATAGGCTGGGGCTATTTTCCCTGGAGCATCAGAGGCTGAGGGGTGACCATATAGAAGTTTATAAAATCATGAGAGGCATGAATAGGGTGAATAGTCAAGGTCTTTTCCCCAGGGTAGGGGAGTCCAAAACTAGACAGCATAGGTTTAAGACGAGAGGTGAAAGATTTAAAAGGGACCTAAGGATTTCATGAAGAGGGTGGTGCATGTATGGAATAAGCTGCCAGAGGTGGTGATGGAGCCTGGTACAATTGCAACATTTAAAAGGCACCTGGATGGGTGTGTGAATAGGAAGGGTTTAAGAGGCATGTGGGCCAAATGCTGGTAAATGGGACTAGATTAGTGTAGAATATCTGGTCAGCATGGATGAGTTGGACTGAAGGGTCTGTTTCTGTGCTGTACATCCGAATCTAAATATCGATGTTACCATGGCTAATATATTGCAATGTCCTAAAATAAATCAGTAATACAAGTAATTTAATAACAAGACTATATGCAAACTCATTCATGTGGTTGTGAAGCTAGTACAGAAATTGAAAATAATTTAATTAAACTGCTGTGCCACTGACATGGCTTCACACTCAATCCCATACCCTCAGCTCCCAATAACAGTATAACATATGTTATGCACATCTGTTGCGGGAACTCAAGTGGCATTTTAGGATGCACATCTACTGATCATACACAAATGAAGAAAGACAACATATCTGATATATTCATCTCTTTACTCCCCCCCGCAAAATCATTCAGCCACGATAACCTTAATGATTCTTACCAGAGAACGAAGATTAAGAAGAGTGTCAACTAAGCTGCTCTCCTGTTCCAATTCCTTAATAAACTTGAAGCAATTCCATGTAGAGTAGATGAAGAAAGACTACAGACAAAAATAAAAAAAAATTGTGTCAAGGTACAACTACCATTTAAATATTTTTCATGTTATTTCCTAGGTATCAGGCCGGGAGTCTGACTAAAAACTTACACAATTTTAAGTAGCACAAATGCCAAGTTGCAAATTAAATGATGTACATAACTGTTAGAGGTAATATATTACTAACAGCTTTGATGAGCTGTAGTCAGTTTACCCTGATTTGTTTAGATTGAAAAGCCAAGAGTGAAACCTGTTGGGGTCTATGGCTGTTGTATTTATTTTGAATTTTAAACCCCCTTTCACTTGTTCTGTTCCTTCACAGATATACTGCAGATAAATAGCATTGTACAGTTTGAAAGAAGTGATAAGATTGGAAAAATATAGAAGGGAAAAACAAATCCTGTCATTCAAAAATCCAGACGAAGTGTGCTGAATTGTTTCTCATAATTCTTTTGATTTTCTTTTAACTGATGGTGATCCATTATTGTGCAAACAAGATTGTATGATTTTTGACTCAACAGCTGATAGTGGTCCTGAGTTTTCCCTTGTATTAGAACCAATTATTTTCAGTCTCTTTCACTCAAAAATGGCGAGGCATACTCATTATTTGCAAGCTTCTGGACATCTGACTGCACTGCACTTGTGGTTTTGTAGTAAATTACAACTGGACCAATCCCAAGGCTGTCGTTAGGCAGTTTTAACTTAACTAAAAAAACTCCTGGTGCCACTCTACATCATATAGGTTAACACCTCACTGCTCCAAAAAGTAACAGTCTTGTACAGGTACAAGTAAACCACAAATTTCACTTAATCTTCAAGTTACAAAACTCTCCTGCAACTTTTAGCTATATAGCAGACCAACTTCCATATTTCAGCTTATAGTGCAAAAGGAAAAAAAAAGTTCCTATACATGCCACCACCCTTGGAAAAAAAAATGAAAAGCTACTTGTTAATGCATGTCATGATGAGGTGAATATGGTATGTACATATTAAGACGCAAGAGAATTACATTCAATTATCCTCACACATTGTTTATGCAACACTTTCACAATTTATCTTTCCTCATATATTTAAACTGTCCCAACATAATTTCACTCGATAGTGTATATGTCAACCATACCATCTTTGTCTATTTTCACAAGAAATCTATTACAGAACATATGACCATAAGAAATAGGAGCAGGAATATGCCACTCAGTCCCTCACACCTGCCCCACCAATCAATAATGTCATGGTTGAACTGTCCCAGGCTTCAACTCCTCTTTTGTGTCAGCTTCTCATAGGCCTCAACTCTTGATTTTTAAAAAATCTACCACCTCTTTAAATACTTTCAATGATCTAGTCTCCACAAATCTCTGGGATAGAGAATTCCAGACATTCACCATCTTCTGAGAGAAAAAATTCCTTTGCATCTCAATTTTTAGGGACACTTATTCTGAAACTACATCCCCTAGTTCGAGACTCCCCCATGAGCAGACACACCTTCTCAACATTTACCCTTTCAAGCCTCTCAGAATCTTGTTATGATTCAATAAGACCAGCACTCATTCTTTTAAACAAATGAATATAGGACTAACTTGTTTAGCCATTCTTGATAAGTCAGTTCCTTTATCCCAGCAATCAGCCGAGTGAATCTCTTTTGAAGTGCCACCAATGCCAATATATCCTTTTTTAAATACAGGATCAAAAACAATACGCAGTATTCCAAGTGCAGCCTCACCAACACCTTGTACAATTGCAACAGGACTTCCCTGTTTTTAAAACTTGAACCCCTTGCAACAAAAACAAAAAGAATACTAATTTTGTGATTCATGCACAAGAACACACAGATCCCTCTGCGCTGCACATTTTTGGAGTCTTTCTCCACATAAATAATTGATTCTTCCACCCAAATGACCACGGATGTTCCTAACAAACTCCACCTGCCAAAGTTTAGTTATTCACTCAACCTATCGCCATCCCTTTGCAGATTCCTAATGTCCTCATCACAACATACACTCTCATCCATTTTTTAAAATCATCAGCAAATTTAGATACATTACACTCTGCCCCGTCCTCAAAGTCAAAATCGTACAGCATAGAAACACGCCCTTCAGCCTGCCATGTCCACGCTGGCCATTGAACACCAAACTACACCAATTCCACTTCCTGCACTTGGTCCATGGCCTACTATGCACTGGCATTTTATGTGCTCATCCAGATACCTATTAAATGTTGCAAAAGTACCCGCCTCCACCAATCTCTCAGGCAATATGTTCCATATTTCTAACATCCTCTGGATGAAAAATTTTTTCTCAGATCTCCTCTAAACCATTTACTCCACACGTTAAACTTATGCCCTCTGGTCTTAAGACACATCTGATTGTGGAAAAGATTTTAAACAATCTAGTCTGTCTGTACTTCTCAATTTGGTGTATCTCAATCAGATCCACCCTCAGCCTCCTCTGCTCCAAGGAAAACAAATCCAGTCTATCCAGTTTCTCCTCAGAATCAAGACTTTTCATCCCAGGTAACAACCTGATGAATCTCTCTGCACACTCTCCAATGCAACCGTGTCCCTCTGATAGTTTGGCAACAAGAACTGCACCCAATATTCCGTCGGTGACCTAACCAATGTTTTATAAAGTTGTAACAAGACTTCCTTGCTCCCATATTCTACACTCCTGCTAACAAAGGCACGCGGCCCATATACCTTCTTCACTACCTGTCACCTGTGGTAACACTTTCAGAGATCTATGGACTTGTACACCAAAGGTCCCTTTGTTCCTCAGTACTTCCTAGGGACCTACCATTCATCGTGTATGTCCTTCTCATTTTAGACTTCCAAGAATGCATCACCTCGCACTTATCAGGATTAAATTCCATCTGTATTCACTCTGCCCAACTTGCCATCTGATCAATATCAGACCGTAGCCCGAGTCCATCCTCCTATCAACAACATCACCAATTTTTGTGTCATCTGAAAATTTACTAATTACACATTCTACATTCATATCAAGTCAATAATGTACATAAAAAACAGCAAGGGTCCCAGCACCAATCTCTACGGTACACTGCTGGTCAGAATTACTATCACAAAGACATTCCTCCTCCAAACTATGCCTCCTATTTGCAAGTCAATTTTGCATCCAGTCTGCCAACTTGTCTTGGCTCCCATGAGCTCTTACCTTTTGGACCAGCCTTCCATGTGGGACCTTAAATGAATGAATGAGCTTTATTGTCACATGTACTCAAATGAGTACAGTGAAAAGTTGATAAGTCGCCACTTACAGTGCCATCTTAGGTACAAAGGTACCTAGGTGCAACTTCTTCAGTTACCGATTAGTTACACTGTAACAATGTCACCAACACACAGCGGCACCTTAGGTACCCGAGTATAATCCATTGTCACAGAATAGAGAGATGAAGAAAAAAAAGTTACATTACAGCTCTACGCAGTATAACCATTGGTCAGAAAAACAAACAAGTTAAAAAGAAAAATATCACAGTCTCTCTCCAACGGCTCTCCACAGCAGACTAGTGCAGGGGGCCTCCAAGTGTTCTGACTGCAGGCTGCCACCATGTTCCGCACCTGGCCACTACCACCACACTTCGCTCTGGGCCGCTGCCCGTTTAGCACCAGGTCGCTGGTCACGATGTCCCTGCTTCGGGCCACTGTCTCTGCTTCAGAGGCCAGGTGTCCAAGGCCAAGAGTCCAAGAAGACACAAGAGAAGAAAACCACGGAAGGGAGGAAAAGATGGAGAAAGAAAGAAAAAGAATAGGTGGAACAGGCGGGTTCCAGCTGGAGCATCCTCTGCCTTGACAAATACCTTACTGAAGTCCAAGTCAACATCAACTGCACCATCACCATTTATACATTTGGTTAACTTTTCAAAAACACAAATTTGTCAGACAGGATGTCCCTCCAATAAATCTGTGTTGACTATTCCTGACCAGTCCCTGCATTTCCAAGTGTTGTTTAATCCTGTCCCTCAGAGCATTTTTCCAATAATTTCCCTACCACTGACATCAGACTAACTGGTCTATAATTACCTGACCAGTCCCTGCTACCCTTCTTGAACAAAGAAACCACATTAACTGGCCTCCAGTCATCTGGCACTTCATTGGTGGCTAGCAAATCATTAAATATCTCTGTCAGGGCCCCAGCAATCCCCTTCCTTGCGTCCCATAGCAGCTTGGAATATATCTTATTGGGCCCTGGGAATTTATGCACTTTTATGCCTGCTAAATATCTAATACCTCCTCCTTATTAATCTTAACATATTCTAGAACCTCATCATCCCAAGTGAAATCCCTGGCTACAATGTCTTTCTCCTCTGTGAATACAGATGAGAAATATTCATTTAACACCTCATGCACATCTTCTGACTCCATATACAGATTGCCCTTTTGTCTCTAATAGGCCCCCCTCTTTCCTTGATAATCCTTTTACTCTTAATATACTTATAAAATGCCTTGGGATTTTCCTTGATCATATCTACCAAAAGGTATTGTGTGGCCCCTCTTTGCCCTCCCAATTTCTTTTTTAAGCAACGTCCTACACACTATACTTCCCCTACTTTTAATGTGCTGTACTTGATGTATGCTTCCTTCTTTTTGTTTATCAAACTCTTGACATCCTGGATTCCCTAGACTTGCTGTCCTTGCTCTTCACTCTTAGAGGAAGATACTCACCATGAATTCTCATTATACTACTTTTAAAAAGACTGCCAATTTCCAAATGTAGACTTTCCTTCAAGTAGCTGCTTCCAGTCTATGTTTGCCGGATCTTCTAATGATATTGAAATTGGGCTTCCCCCAATTTAGACACTTAACTTCTGCACTATTCTTTCCATAATGACTTTGAAGCTTAGAAGGGTTATGGTACCCAAAATGCTTGCCTATTGAAACTTCAATTACTTGACAGACTTCATTCACTAGAGTCAGGTCTAGCACTGCCCCATCTCTAGTAAGACTGTGTACTGGCACAAAAACTCTCCTGGATGCACTTACACTCCACCCCATCTAATCCTT